GCTGCTCCACGCCAGGTAAGTATCTCGAACAAAATAATTTGTATTTATGTTTAAACCTTCTCTCTGATTTATTTTCACACTGAGACGTTGTGAAGTAAGTCTGGGGGAGGGTCTTTGTCATTTACTAACTCGTTTATTTCTTTTGGCTTTTATGTATGAGTCAGTCTTGAGTCATTTTGATATTTTTATTGAGTCAACACTTGTGGGGATTAGGACCTTATTTTGATAATCACTAACCAGCTCATGCTTTAACTTATTTTATTCAGTGACCTTAGCAGTGACGAAAGACGCACACTTGGACCTGGAACACTCTGACTTTATCTCACCTTGCTCTCCAGAAGATTTCTGCTAGTAGAGGTTACTCTGGAAAGACTTAAACTCCATCTAACATGAACCTAATATTAATTTAATTCTTCTTTTTATGGGTGTTAGATTAGGGAAACGATATTACACTCAGGATATCTTAATTCTTTCTATCCATCTTGTTGATCCTGAGTGGCTAGCTCATCTTTAGCTAGTTCCACCCTGAACCTTAAAACCTTTGTTTCGTCCTCATGCATTTTGTTCTTAAGTTTCATATGTGCAGATATGTTCAAAAGGGCTGGAGAGGAAAGGATCAACACAGCTCTCACTCATTTTGCTCACAGACTACACTTCAGAGCATAGACGTACATGATCCGACAAGAAGAGAACAGTCAGTAGGGTGATACGAACAGAAAAGACCAATTGGTGAAAGAAGTGCTAAAGTCAGAACCACCAGTGGCACACTATATGTAATTACCTCCTTTTCGTCATCATCATCATCATCTGAACTCATCAGTTCTTCTATAAAAAAAACAGTGTTATTTAAGTCCCAAGAGTTGTAAGAGATGATGAAAAGGAGAAGAACGAAAAAGAAAACAATTCCCCTGGTTGATTGGTGAATGAAAAGCTCAAGTAGAATTGGAACAGTGTGAAGAATGGTGATCTGGAAGAAAGGGAGCAACCTGTCAAAGAAAAGAGGAACAAGAAGTGACTGCTCTGCAAAGAAAAACGAGTGAAGTCTCTGGAGATTAATGGATCCATCCTCTCTTGCAATTTTGCACGATATCATGCATCCTCTACAGAGTATTGGTAACCCCTAAACACTTGTTAGCTCCACTTAAACACTTAAAAAGTCTGTCTCACACCTAGACCGTCTACCCTAAATAATGCATATGACAAGAAGCTCACACTGCTCTTAATTGAATGTAAGAAATTTTTGTCTAGAAAGTGTGACTTTTGCAGGTTTGAGATATAGAGTATGGAGCCGACTTGAACAGCAGTCAGTGGGGTTCTGGTAAGGGTGTGTCGTCCTAGCATGTCTGCTTGTATGGTTCAGAGATTCGTGGTTAAAGTATGGTTGCTGAACCATAAGAGAGTTCCCACACTTTCAAACCTTTCTCCCTGTTTTTGATATTTGACATTGTTTAAGGACAAACAAGGATCTAAGTCTGGGGAAATTGATATATGGTGTTTTTGACATCTAGTATATATGTTTTCTTAATTGTTTTCAAGTCTTTCTCTAGTCTTTCTAGTCCTTTTTAAATCATAACAGGTCTGGAGTTGGTAAGGAAATCTTTGGAGATACACATGAAGAAAAGAATGAATATTGGAAGATTTCTGTCGCAGAGCACCCATACGGAGCAACCCCCTGCCTGCTCCTGAAAAGAGCACCAAACAGAGCAACCCTTACTTGCTCCCGAAAATTATGGAAACTTCTAATTAATTTCGGGATTTGCCCTAGTCTTTCTATTTTCTTCTCCCAGCCACATGTGGCATAGAGACATATTCTATTTTTATTTTCTTTGACACTCTACGCTTCTTTTCAGAGACAAGAAACTCTAGAGCTTTTGGAAATTGTGATTTTGATACTTGTAAAGGGAGAAGATCATCTCTCGATTTAGAGAACAATCCTCTGAACCCGATTTATATTTTATCTTCAATAATAATCATGTCTTCTATATCTCTTGTCTCTGTATTCTCTGTTGTTATGACTGAGTAGTCGATCTTGTTAGCCTCGGGTTCTAGGGTTTTGATTCATGAACTGAACATAGATAAGCTTCATCTTTTTGTCTTCGTTTATGACTACTCTTAATGCTAATACTAATCTAATCATTTAGTGTTTGATCTAGGTTTAACCTTTTATCATTAACCATGAATTAGGTTGTTAGATATGTTATAAACGAGCATCATATCCCTGATCAGCGAGAGTAAATATCAGGGTATGATGTGAGCATTTTAGGTATGTTCTTACTGTTTGCTGTCGAGCCTTGATCCACGCGAGAGCATAGGTATCAAGCTCGCTCCGGAAAAGGAGCATATCTGCAAGAGCAGGGTGTTCTAATTAAGATATCTGAGTTCTATACTGTTCTTATTTGAGCTTGAAAAAATGTTTGGTTCATCATGTAACACCCAATGAAGCACCCTAGGCTAGCATTCTTCATCATCTGAAAACCCTAATCGAATTTATTACTTTCTTGTTTTATTTTCTTAATTTAAAAACAATTCATTGTCATAACTTAATATTGATCCCATAGAAATAAAGTGTAAGATTTGGTCAATGTGGATTTGATCCTTAAGTACTACATCGAACCTCTTATTTGAGATAGTAGCTTGAAGGTTAATTTGAGCATATCATGCTTAAATGTATAACTTGTAATTACAATGTTATTTGTGGTTTATGAATATATATAAAAAAATTTTGGGGATAAAGGGTTTAGATCTGGTTAACTGGTTAGATATGGTAAAAGGTAAAATGAGAATTTTATTTCCGAAGTATTTGAAATCGGGAATTTTAATATGCAAGTATTACTCACGTAAAATTATTCCCCAATTTATAGTTGACTGCACAAAATTAGGAACAAAATAGTCAAGCGGTAATTGATTAACGAACTGATAACAGTTTCCGTCAATTTTTAACGGTTCACTATTCGAGTTATAATTTTGTGCAGTCAATAATTAGTTGAGGAATAAATATGTGCATATAATATTTGATTATTTAATTTTCCGTTCGAAATTATTTTAGGAATTAAAAACAGCAATCTCATTTTTTTTAAAAAAAATCATATTTAAAAAGATTGCCAAGTTAGCTATAACCAATATATAAGATTTTCACTTTTTTGAAGGAGATTTTTGAGTTTTTACAATGATATATACCATAATACAAATAATTATAGTTATTTTATATTGTTAATGTACTTATTTTTTATTAAATCACTTAAGATGATTTTAAAATAATTCCTAACTAAAAAGATTCTCAATATGAACAAATATACAAGATATTTAATATTAAAGGACAATTTTAAGTTTTCACAAAACAAAATAAAATAATATAAGAGTCTTTTTTTATAAAATAGTAATAATATAAGATAATTACATAGCATTATATTGCTGATGTAAAATATAGAATTGTCTAAAGAAGAGATAACTGCATAAAATTGTTTAAAGTAGAGCCCCAATGTACAACATATGATTGTCTAAGCAACACAAAATTATTCATAGGTAATTATAAGAAATAAATACATAAAAAATATGATGCAACTATAATTATTTTTCTTATTTTATATATCATTTTAAAAAATAAACAATCTCATTCAAAAAGTAAAAATCTCATATTATATCTAACTTTAGAGTCTTTTAAATTATAATTTTTTAAAAAAAAATTGATGTTTTTAATTCCTCAAGTATTATATGTGGATATTTATTCCTCGACTAATAATTAAGTGCGCAAAATTATGATTAGAATAGTCAACATTAAAAATTTGACAAATTTTTTTTTTCCATTACTCATTTAATAGTTGAGTATTTTATTCATGATTTCGCGCAGTCAACTATTAGCTGGGAAATTCTAATTTCATATACTTCAAGAATAAAACGTTCGCTTACCCATATGGTAAATCCTAAATCCACTATGTTTGAGGGTTTATATACATTTAAGGGTTTGATCAAGAACTCATCTTCCATAATTGTACTCTTTTAAGAAGATCTCCGCAACAATGAAAGGAGGTACTCCGGTTATCTTTCTTGTAATTCTATTATAACCCTAATTGGCAGAGCATGAGTATAAAAAATTATGCTCTTTATTATTCACATAACATTTATTAGAAACAGTTAGAAGATGCAAATTGTCTCCAAATACTTGTTTGCTTGATATTTTCATATGAAACTTTTGGTAGAACATTTTCATTTAAAATATATTAAAACTTTTAAATATTTTAATATAATTAATTTAATTAATTTAGTAATATCCTAACATTATATTATAACCAAATATAAATTTAAATTTTCAAAAATAAAAGTAAATTTAAACTAAAAATATTTTACGATTTTAAAAGAATAATATTTCACATTTAAAATATAAAATATATAACTAAATATGATTTATTTTAAAAATATTATATATATTATAAATATAATATATCTATATTATATAGTGCAGAAAAATTATTTATAATATTTAAAAATAAACAAATTATATAACAAATTCTATCAATAAGTTTATTAAGTACATTTATGAGAGTATACTATTTCTATAGCACATTGCTTCTATAGCATATAAGATTAGTTTAGATGTTAAAGATATCATGTAATCATGGTTACATTTACTCATACAAAATCTTTCTTCTATTGATACTCTAGTAGTTTTTCTTGACAAGTCTGTCTGCCTCTCTTTTCATGCACTTCCTTTTCAAGTGGCAAGCTCCTGTGATCACATCAAGCATAATAAACTTGGATTAATCTTTTTTATTCAGATTGCATTTGATGGTGATCCGATTAGGAATCATTTATGCAACCAGAGTTTTAATTTTCTCTACTAGAAATTAACGGTTAATGATGGTTAATGTGTAATATGCTTAATCATCGACGATGAATCAAAGCACTTGATTTATGTATAGCCCTTAAGCTAAGAAAAAAAAACAAGATGAGCAAAATGTGTATAGATGTGCTGAAGAGGTTAATAAATTAAAGCTTTTGAAGACTCATATTTCTCTGTTGCTAGAGGCATTGGGTTTGTATTCTCTTTTTGTTCTGATCCCACCACGTCTTTGCGTGCATTTCCCCAAATCGTTCCCGGCTGTTGATTAAACAATAGAAGCATAAAACCCGGTTAGTTACGGTCTGGTGTTGAATTATAAGATGTCTGACGTCATCTCTTTGTTAACCGACATTCTAAACCGGTAACCAGAGTAATCAGAGGCTTTAAGCACTAAACGATTCATCCTAAATGTTGAGTCTTTAAAGATGTTTGTTATACCTGAATCTAGGGGTGGGACGGATCCGGATATCCGGGAAATTTGAAGTATCCGGATCCGGATGCGGATTCGTCGGATGAGTGATTTTAGTATCCGGATTCAGATTCATGTCTTCCGGATATCCGGGCTTAGGATATCCGTTTAGATATTATGATATCCGCGGGTATCCGGATTCGGATTCGGGTCAATAAAAATAATTAATTTTAAAAAAAAAAAAAAATCAAAAATTCTAAAAATAATACATAAACTAAATATTTAAGCATAATTTATGAATTATATATGACATATAATATTATTAATATAAAAGTAGAATATTATTAAACTTATTTTATGTATAAATATTAATAAATCAGATATAATTAATAAAAAAATAAAAAAATTAATATATTTTAAAAAATACAGATCCGAATCCGGATATACGGACCTACAAATTAAGATATCCGGATCCAGATTCGGTTTGCACGGATCCGAGATTTTATTATCCGGATTTGGATCCGGACACCCCAGATATCCTAATTTCGGAGCGGATCCGGAGTAGATCTCGGATCGAATCCGGATCCCAGATAAAAGTCCCAGCCCTACCTGAATCTGACCCGACGTAGCTCTCTCGTCCCATCCGATAATTGTCTAATGGTAGTGTAAACGCCAGGCTCGTCCTCTTCGATCCACTCACCGTGCATTTCACTAGCATTGCTCATTGAAAGTGGTTCATCGTTTGAAGAGGTGGTAGTTCGTGCTGCTGCATCCATTGTAGGTTCTCCATGATGACCATAGTTGCTAGAGCCACCATACAAGTGATGAGGAACATTGGCTCTTGGGGGTCTGAAGTTGTGTCTGCGAGTCCAATCTTTGCTCTCTCTCGCTGATTCTATCTTCGAGTAAGTTGAATCTCTCTACGACTGCCAAAAAAGAAAAAAGAAAAAAGAAAAAGAAAATTAAGACAAGATTCACTAAAGGTTCTTGTCTGAAGAAAGACTAAACTAACATTACAAGTCAATATGTGTTTTTAATCACATGGTCATCGGATCTTGCAGGCGTTTGAAGAGCTTGGCGGACTAAATCTTTTTACATTGTAAAGCTTAACGATTTTTTTATAGCTCTCACCCAACCACCGTTGAGCCTGCCACTTGTCGAACATCTCCCGGATTTCACAAAAAGACACAAGTAATGGTTAGTATTAGCTTCCAGTGTCATGGGGTGCACAAAAAAAATCCATGTCATGAACTGAAAACATCTAAAACACTTGTATACTTTTCGACAAACCAAACCGCTTGAGACATTAAGTCTAGCAATGTTCTGCAAGTCTGCAACCAAACCAACATATATATCAAAACATGACATGCAAGTTATGACCTAGTCACCACCTACTGATCTAGAAAAGTCAAAGATCACAAAGAGAGATATGAGTACCTAAACCGGATCCGTTTAATATCACTTCCTCCACTGGGAAGCAAAGCGAATGTGATTTGTACACCTGGTTCTACTTGAGCCATCCACTCTGTATGCCCTTCATCATCTAGCACATCACAAAACTGAGCCGAGATAGATTCCCGGTCGTTTCCATAGACTGAAGTGAATTTTGACTCTGACCGCCCGGCTGGATGGTGAGAGGAGTTTGTTAAGTCCAGGTCCGTCCCAATCATTTTTTGGGACCCTGTTCAATTTATAAGAGTAATACATGTAAGTTGCAAAAACGGGTCCTAATTTATTTTAACAAAAGGCCCTAATCGTTAACTAAAATTTGCAAAAACAAGATGGATCATGTGCCAATGTGCTTTCAGTACATGCCTAGAGACGGACCTGGTTAAGTCCGCGCTTCCACCCATGTAAATGTATGGAACACCTTCAGAAGCATTGTCAAAATTTGGGAACGGTCTATGTCCTTTCTTCATGGGTCTGCCAGAGGAACCAGTGCATGGCTTGCACTGTTTATAAGCACCAGAGAATTTCATAGCCGTATCTTTAATCTGCATAACTTAAGCACCCGAAAACACAATTTAAAACGCAATAATGTTGAGTACAACATTTCACTAACATAGTAAGTAGTCTCAGGAAGACTATTATGATAATTCTTAAAGCAACATAAATAAAGCTATGAGATCTAACAAATTAAATGGGTCAATATGAAAAATACAACCAGAACGGCAATGTTTTCCTTTTGTTTTCTTATTTGATTTATTATATAACTAGGGTCGGTCCGCCCTACGGGAGGGAGGTTAATAAAAACTACTTTATATGAATTTATATTAATTTTATAGAGCATTAAAAATTGTTAACGATTGAAAAATATATTATAAACGTACAAAGAACAAAACAATTATAAGATCAAATTGTTATTTTAATATATATATTTTTGGTATATATAATATTTTTATTTGATTCTAAAATTAATTTAATGAATATTTGAATATTTAATTTAGGAAATTTTATTTTACATCTTTAATTTAATTTCAACTAAAATAGCATTAAGCTTTATAATAATTGTCTTACAACAATTATATTTATGTATTTTACTATTCATTTTCGAATCACATACCTTTCTAATAGTAATAAAATTTTAAAAATATATTTATTTACTTTCTCTCAATGTTTGTTTTTAGTTTACAATACCGATAAGCCACATAACTTTTTAAAATTACTTATAAGTACAGTGAAGTTATTTTATCCCTTAGTTATGTATTTGTTTCAAAATATTGAACAAACTCCAACTTCAGTTAGGAGTTATTTGATATCTGCATTTACTAAGATTCAATCAACTCTAACTTCAAAATATAGCCTTTTATATATATATATATATATATTAGAGGTAATATTTTCAAATAGTTAGTCTAGATATCAACTTAATTTATTTAGATTAAAATTTTATTTTTAAGTTCTTTTATGTTGGTTATATTTTATTTTGACAATTTCATTTTTTTTTAGTTTACATTTCAATTTAGTTTCCTTTCAAAAAATTTTATACTAAGTTCTTTGATACAGATTTTCATATTATTTTAAAAGATAAAGAAGTTTTGATATTTTAATATTTAATTAAAATGTGTTTTATAATTTGTTAGAGTTAACCAAGATATGAAGCTATTTTTTCTGATAGTCTTTAGTTTTTATATTAATTTTTTGTTTTGATAAATATGACTTTTAAGTTCTAATTATTTATAATATATTTTTCAGTTAGTTTTTACGTTGACTTACCAAAATACTCATAAGCAAATCATAATAACGTAATCTTTTAATTCCTAACTTTATTGACAGGTTTGCAAAAGGATTATTAATGCAGTAACCATTTTTTATTAGATAATCTGGAAAGTCACTGAATCAAACACAGAGCACCCATAAAATGGGGAAAAAAGTAGTTAAAACGGAAACGTGTTAAGATAAACAGATGAAAGAGCTGTACAAAAAGGAAGAAGATCCCAAATTCAAGCCACATACGCCTTCTTGACAACCTTAGGAGCTGAGCTCGCTGACTTCTCAGATGCAATACCATGTAGATTAGTAGCAGCATTGACACTTGCCTCATAGCTGCTCCCTCCACTTTTAACATTAGTAGGAACTGGGGTTGCATCTGGCTTGTTGTTCCCATCATCGTTGCCACCTCCCTGTTCCAGTATTATTGTTAAAGAAACATACTTTTTTTTCCTAGAAATTAAAAAATTCAAACAATCAGACGTAGATTGTCAATGTCTTTCCTTCCATATCTGCTATAAACGGTGGCATCTGAGAGTCCTCAGCGTTTACATCATCTTCAGTCTATATTGGTGAAACCCAAAAAACGTATCACGTTAATATATATTAAACGCTGTACAACCTGTTAGATGACGTCAACTACAGTATTGGGTTCGCTACTCACCAACATCTAACCAGTTTCTTTTGCTTCCAGGTTGTGTAATTTAGTCACATGACATGACATGATTCTTGACTCCAGGGGGATCATTCACTGTACTCTTAACGGCAACGATTTCACCAACAACATCTGTGAGCAGGCCGACGTTAGATAGTATCTGTATATAATGCTTAAAATAATATAAACTCACTGGGAAGCTGAGAGCTAGTGTTAGCTAGTCCAAGGAGCTCAGATTCATTATGGAAGCAGAATCCTTCCTCGGGCAGTGGAGAGACCTCAGGCAATCGAGAGACTGCTTCCGTTATCACATCAAATGCGGTTGAGTCATTGAACCGGATTAGTAAAGATGAGTCGGTGAGTCTGAAGTTCGGAGCACATCGAGCTACATCAAAATATGAGACGGAGTACATAGAGCCGGCAGCGGGCCTAGGCCGGAATGTTTGGAGGCGGTTAGCATTGATAGTAGCTTGCATAATGGTTGCCTGTGAAGAGGTATATATAACATAATCAAATAAACAGAGCAGTTCGCCGGAGATTAAGAAAAAAACGATTCCGAGTCTAGATTAAGAGATCACTTACATTCACATCCACCAGGAGCATGTCATAAGCTCTCCGCCGCGCCCGACATTCCTAGCCTCCCAGAAACGGAGAAGCCTGACCTCGAGAGTGGAGGAACACCGGCTGGTCTTCAGATCGAAAAGAAAAACTCTATAATCAACCATTTCGAGGATAGTAAGTAGTGAGATAAGATGAGATTTTCCAGAGCAAGAAGCACACATATTTATACCCGTAGAGCCACCGACCCTCAGTCGCTTAAACGCATTGATGTCGAGATCGTGTGCTAAAGGAGTTACTATCACGAACATGAACAAAGTCGAAGAGGGATATGAAGCCATAGACAACGAACCGTCACGTAGAGGAAACTCGATCAATCTTCATGTCGGCCGCAAAGTCTGTCAAGAACCCTAGCCCTAAGACGACAGCGTGTTGATAAGCGTACTTAATAATCTACGGGCTGCTAGAACGCAGAAAACTTAAGGCCCAACGTTTTGATTTAAGGCCAACTGACCAAAACATAATCTCAGCCGAATGCAGTGTTTAAACGGAGAGGAACACGTGTAAACCTCATGTTGAACTAATAGATGATATGGCTTTCATAGAGGGAGGAAAACTCTCTTTTATATAGCCGAACGCAGTGTTTAAACGGAGAGGAACACGTGTAAACCTCATGTTGAATTAATTGATGATGTGGCTTTCCTAGAGGGACGAAAACTCTCTATTATATATATACATTACACATACTCTTTAAAGCTTTTACTTTCTCTTTTTTTCTCTAGGTAAGAATCCACTAAAGGTTATATTTGAGAAAAGTATAATTAGATCAATTTTAATTAGCAATATTTATGAAGTGATGGGTTTTAAGGAACCACTATACTCCTTTAAAAATATTCAACTGGATATATAGGGTAATGGTAATATATGAAACAACTGTTGTGCAGTCTTAACAATAACAAAAACATATAATTATATATATATATATATATATATATATATATATAAATTTTTGTTATAGTAAACTTTGGTGCGGTATAGTTGATACCATTTGAAGTCATAAATTAGAGACATTTAAATCTGAGTTTTAATTGTTTTACTTGTTTGACTTTGATGTCTAGCCACAAATAGATGGGATAGGAACACTGACACAACTTATTAAAAGCTAGATTAGTGAAAGATTTTATTTCAAAATCTCTCTCTCTCTCTCAATCCTCTGACCTCTCTCTAAAAGTTTTCTCTTGTTAACGCCGGTTTACCAGCTCCGGCTGCTTCCACAGAGGCAGAGTCGGTATTTGCATTTCCTGATGTTTTGCTTTTGTGATTTTACGGTTTTGATCCTCTCGGCTTGTTCTTGTTTTCTTCTTCGGATAGATTTCCAGATCTAAAATCTTATTCTAACCGGAGGAAGTGAGAACTTTCAATTGATATTTCTTTGATTTCTTGATCTATCTAGTCGGAGTGAGTTGGACTTCTCATCCTTAAGATTGATTTCTTGTTTGAAACCTTGATAATGGTTTAACTGAATTGCATGGTTGTTTTGAGCTTTCTTTGGCTCATGTCGGGTCTCGATCTTCAACCTTTTCGGTCTCTCAATCAAGGTTGTATCTGGTTTTGAGTTAAATTGCTCCTTGTCTTTTCTTAAATGATTCGATCGAGATCTCCTCTCCAGTCTGTCTTCAATTTGGCGTCTTAATCCATCTCTGCCATCATCTTCCGGTTGATGACTTTTGAACTGAAATTTTTCTATCTCATGGAGTTTAGAGATTTTTTCTTTCAATTGCATGGACTATTTACCGTAGGAGAAATTGCAAACCGAAGGTTCTAGTCATGGAAGGTGTCCTCGCTTATCCTTGTTCAAAGGAGTTCTCTCAAGTCATCATGCTTTATTATTTTTTGTGAAGGTTCCTTTGGTTTGTCCCTCACTTCTTCTAGTATAGATTTGTTTAGCAATGTTGGTTTGTTTTTTTCTCTATTTAAACCGTTTCCGGGGCGGATGTAAATGGGAAGGAGTGGGGTCATCTGACCCACTATTTTTTAAATATTTGTTTTTTTATCTGAGAAAAATTGTAAAATATTTAGTTTTACTTAAGAAAAATTCTATTGACTCCACTAAAAATGAAAATTTATTTCTTTTAAAATTTTTTTGACCCAATACAAAATATTCCTGGCTCCGGTACTGACCGTTTCTCATTTGTGGGCTTTCATTTCTGAGAAGCCTTTTGTTGGTTCGTCCGCTCTTGTATGCTGGGATTTTTGAAATCACCGGTCAATTTAATTGCTTTTGGTTAATACATCATGCCTACAGGGTGTACCGACAAATTATTACTTGTTCTAGACCACATAATACATCATGCCTACAGGGTGTACCGACAAATTATTACTTGTTCTAGACCACATGACTAAAACATATTTCGCCCTGGGGGTAATAGGCATGTTCACGGGAATATGTTTGACGGTTATGAGGAGCATCACAATTGACACAAGTGTTGGTGTCAAAAACCGTAATCTCGAAATCAACGTCTACGATAACTTCAGTAAAAGATGGAATCATTGCTTTCCGCAAGAATCATTTTATAAAACTCGAGAAATCATTTTATAACTCGAAGGATCATTTTATAAAACTCGAAGGATCATTTTATAAAACTTGAGAAATCGTTTTATAAAAAACGAAGAATCATTTTATAAAACTCGAGAAATTGTTTTATAAAACTCGAGGAATCATTTTATAAAACTCGAGAAATCGTTTTATAAATCCAAAAGAGATTTCCGAACAAGGGAAATCTGCGGAAAACTCGGAAGATCGTTATCTTGGAAAAACGAAACAAACGTCGATTACACGATCGTTCGAGTAAAGCGCAAAACCGCGAAAAACTGAAACCGCCGTAAAACGCGAACTAGTCTCGTCCCGACTAGTTCGCCCAACGGCGAACTAAGCCGACTTGGCTTAGTTCGCCGTTGGGCGAACTAGAAGCTTCCTGGACAGTTCGTCGACCGGCGAGCTGGACCGGTCCGGCTCGGTTTGTCTCACGTCGAACAGACCATCCCGAGCCTCGATCTCCCGCATCCCCATTCAATGCTTACGTCCTTTGACAAGGTCGTGTTCCGAACCACGGTCGAAATGTCTCCCGGTTCGTCTCGATCCGACCTATCATTCGAGTTTTACGATAAAAACCGTAAAACTTTGTTTTCTCGAAAAGAACTCGAGTAAATCGTATAAAACGGCAACGGTTAAACGAAACACCGAACATTGCCTAAACTATACGATTTATTCAAGATTTTTCGTTAAGATCATAAAAACGCGTTTTTAATAACAAAAACGTCGAGAAAATCGTAAAAACGGCAACGATTAACCGAGAGACGAACGTAGCTAAACTTTACGATTAACTCGGGGAATTTACTAAAAACGGCATCGGATCAGGAAACGATCTCGTATAAAGTCGTAAAACGGATTTATCGTAAAACGACCCGAAAGGTCTTAAAATGCGATAAAAGCCCATCTCGCAATCTTAACGAAATCTAACCCAAAGATACGATAACGTTTTGATGGTTTACTTGCAGAAGAAAGATAATTGTCAAGTTTGAAGATAAATGGCAAGTTTGAAGATAAATAGAAGATTTCCACGGGAAAAAAAGAAGGATCGAGATAAATGGAAGATTCTCGATAAACTCGAATCCGGGAAAAATGGAAAGACTGAACCGCCTGGGAGAGGAGTATATAAGCCAGAGGCATAGGACAAGAGCAAGTGGACGAAAATCGGACCTACAAAGGCGGCTGTTAGCTTAGGAATTTAGGACTTAGCGTTTAAACTAGCAATCCAGATCCTTAGAACGTTTCGACGTCTAAGTTCTTCAATTCTCTTTTATAACAATTGTCGATCTCTTACTTAATAAAAGCTTTCACACAAATTCTTTATTCTCTGTTCTTCGTTGTTCATCCATACTCTGTTAATTTCGTTTGTTTTAGTGATTTCTGCAGAGATCCAGGACCTCGGGAAAATTAGGGTTTTTCTCTAAGTTTCCATATTTGACGGAAAATCGACAGTGTGGATTTCGGTTCCCACAACAAAAGTAATATATTTTGGGAGCTGTCATATTGGAAGGATCTTCTTTTGCGACACAATGTGGATTTGTTGCATATTGAGAATATTTTTTTCTGATAACATCATGCATACAGCATTGTACGTCAAAAGAAGAAAAAAAGCATAAAAATCAAGGTTGGACTAACCAGCTATTTTTCCAAGAAGTGAGTTACATATCAAAATCAGCGAAAAAGTTCATGTTACCATTTTCATATTTCATCAAAAGCAAAAGCAGTGTTGATTAACTGGGTGATATTTGAAGTAAACTTTCCTGATGGTTACATTTAAATATCTCAAAAATTGGTTAACAAGGTCAAACGTTTTCAGGGATGGAGAGTAATGATTGTCTTGTGCTTATGCAACGGCTACTTCCATTTTCATTTTCTGAGCTGCTTCTAACAAATGTCCATGAAGCACATGCATGTATATGTTGTAAGACCCAACCTGGACACTAGTCCAAATCAACCTCAAAAGACCTAGGCCAATAGGCGACCGAGTCTAATCAATCATATTTAAAGTTCTTATCATGTTTAGTTGTAATATTCAAGTGAGGTTCGAACCAAGTCATTCTCTGCTCTAATCAAGCATTCACAGAAGCAAAGAAAGCCACGGCCGTATTGTATAAATCATAAAGGATTTGATAAATAATTTTTTTAATGTAGAGCTATAACTGTACGCGATGGATGAGGTTAGGGTCGGATGGTGGTCTATGGATGTTTTCTTGTAGTTTTGTCTTCGGAAAGCCAAAAAAAGTCCTTAGTGATGTCCACCAATGGTGTATTATGAAGCCAAAAAAAGTCCTTAGTAATGTCCACCAATGGTGTATTAGGAGTAGGTAAAGGCATATGTAAACCGAATGGATGTGACCTGCATTTGGTTTTCATGCAAATAATAATAGGTGCTCGACATATCCCCTTATCCTCGGTCAGTAGAAATGGTTGGTTAGGATGTCTAGGGTCTTAGTTTTACCTAAGTGTCCCATCAACTCTCCACCTTTTGATTCTCTCATCAGCAAATCCAACATGGAATCTTTTGGAATGCAAATTTTTTTTTCTCCTTACTATATAATCCTTCATGTTGATAGAAAGTACTATATGCTCCTTTGGTGGTGTTACTAAAAATTTCTGAAAAATCAGGGTCAATAGCGTATGAATTTTTAAGATGTTCAAAACCCATGATCTTAGCTTCCATGGTAGTGATAAGAGTGTATCTTCTTAATAGTGCACTGGTCACCACATTGTCTTTGCCTTTCTTGTATTTGATCACATAAGGAAAGTCTCCACAAATTCCAACCATCTAGCATGTCTCTTCTTGAGTGTGGTTTGACCTCTCAGCTGATTAAGTGTCTCATGATATGTATAAATAACAATCTTCTTAAACAGTAAGTAATTTTGCCAAGTTTTAAGGACCTTACTAGAGCATAAAATTCCTTGTTGAATGTTGGATAACTGAGTGTTGCTCCACTCAATTCTCACTCAAATAGGTTACTGGTCGACTTTCTTGGATAAGCACAACACCTATCACTGAACATGATGCATCACATTCAGTCTCAAAGGTCTTATCAAAATTAGGAAATATAAGTGGTGCATGAATAAGACTATGTTTAAGATTTTTAGAATCTTCTTCTTCAGCTGGTCCCTACGTAAAGGATAAAATCTTCTTCATGACTGAGGTCATGGGTGAGGTGATATATTATGAATTTTACCACTTTTATTCCATGGTATATAACCTATTTAGAGTCTTTTATATGTTTTTGGAGTATATTTTAGAGTGTTTTTAGGTTCAGATACGTTTTGGAGAACTTTGGTAAATTTAGAGTCTTTTGAGGTGTAGAACTGCACAGACGCGTCATATGTGTATTTATGGATAAATACCTTTCCATGGTGTGATTAATTGATATTTTGACACAAGATAGAGCTTTGAGTTATTCCAATGCCACCGGTTTGAGGTCAATCAGCATCCTATAGCAGAAGTTATGCTTGTTTTACTGAAGGTTGTATGTCTGCCTCGCGAGATGAAACGCGAGATGAAGCTGCCGAGGAGATGAATGAGTTTCGATCGACGACACAGCCTTGTTGTCGATCCACGGTGATCCCATAATACGGGCCGAGAATATTCCATTACCGACTTGGCCCAAAAGTAACCAATTGTTACCATAATGCACATGTACGAGTTTCAACCCTATTAATGTGTTCTCTAAGCCATTGTTGACGGCTAAGCTATCTAAGATTAATTCAATTTATTTTCTTAGTTTTATGTTAAGAGATAAGAGAGGAAATTCTTCAAATTCCTCTTGTAACAACTTTGGTTTTATTATTGATTTCTATATAATCTATTCATCTATGATTTCTGTGAGAGTTATCATACTTGAATAAATATCCTGTTAGATTTATGGTTTATTAATGGTTTTGGTGGTTTAGCAAACAAAGAATTCCAAGGGTGATTATTAGATCTATCATCAGATTTGTACTTATTGCATATGTTCTTGATTAACTACCTAGAACCTTCATATAAGGATATTGAAAATTGTGTGATTGTATGATCAGTACTTGAAATATCTTTGATGACCTTAGATTACTAGGGATAATCGAGAGAATTGTTTGGTAATCATAAGTGAACCAATTGAATATGATCCTTTACGGATTGACTAAGAAAGCCGTTGATCAGTGGTATTCACTAAAATCGATCGACGGTCATTCTGATCATCTGATAGATATAATCATTAATATCTTGACTTATTAAATTTGTGTTCTATGATTGAAAACTCTTGGCTTATATCCATTATAATTCACTACATGAAAACCATAGATCTAGTTATTTTCCGTACTTGTTTATAAACCAATAATTTCCTTATTTACTTGTTTTAAATTTTTATTAATTGCCTACCTTAATCATGATTACATTGAGTTTATTGTGTGTCCATGCTTCTAGTGGACTCAATCCCGAAGTACTACAACTTAACCCCTTATTTAAGAGAGTAAAAGTCACTCCTTAGGGTAATTTGAGTTATCAAATTTGGCACCGTTG